CAGGCTACAATCACAAAAAATTCTAAGTCCTAAAACATACGTTCAAAGGAGAAGGCATACACTCAAAAAGGAGAAGGCATACATTCAAAACACAGGGCGCATTCAAAGGTGAAAATCCCGGAGGCAGCATGCATTCATCAAAAACAGGAGTGAGTGTAAAATTACAAACAGGCCGAAGGATAAATGTTGTTCATTACAAAATATGTTCACACATTCCTAAGTACAAAATTACTCAACAATTTCGACGGCATTCCCGGAGGCGTCCTCTACTGCAGGCTTGGACACGGCATCATCACCAATCTCCTCCTCTTCGTCACTGCCCTCGGCCATCAGCAGGGAGTCTTCCAAGTCAGGCCTCGCAACACCTTCAGGGAGGGGAACCCTGGGGTCTGGCTGAAGGGGAGGAAGGCCATAGGATGCCGGATCAAAGGCCTTCGGGTCCACCCCAAAATGCCAGGACAGCCTTCGATATACGAGGGCCTGAGTAAAGTACTCACTCCCGTCATAATATTCCTTCCCCTTTCGGGCCAACCACATGGCGCCTGGGCCTTTCACCCATTCGTCCACCGAAGCTTCCACCACCGAAGCCACCCATTTTTGCCGACCTTCGGCTTTCCATCCCTCCTCGGCAAAAGTAGCAACAGCCTCCTCCCGGGCTTCGGCGACAGCTTTGATCCGGGCCTCCTCGGCATCCTCCGCGGCTTTCTTGGCAGCATCTGCCGCAGCCTTCTCCGCCTCTGCTTTACCTTCGGCCCTGGCCACCGTCTTGGAGCCCTCGAGGATGTATTTGAAAGCCTCTTGCTCAGCTTTGCGAGCGTCCTCGACCTCCTTGAGCTGCCTTCGGGCCTCGGCCAGTGCTTCAGCGGCCTTCTTCTTCTCTGAGTCATGCTGTTCTATCCTCTGGACCAGCTCGCCAAGGCCAAGGCTCGCCTGAAAGCAGACATGAATTACCGGAGGGTTAGCCACTACTCATGTAAAGAATGAAGTTATCTACAAAAGAGGGGGAAGGAAACTTGCCGTAACCGAGGCCATCAGAACCTTGGAGCAGAGGACATCGTCGGCCTGACGGGAGAGCACGGACTTATCGGTCGGAGGGGTGGCACCCCTCAAAAACTCCTTCGGGTTCAGGGTCCCGTGCATGATAGCAGTCCCCTTCGTAATGGAAAATTGGACTTTGTCCAGGGGCCATGTCAGATCAGTTGCCTGACCCGAAGGCTTGGGAGGAGAAGATTCTTCTACGACCACAACGGGGGCTTCCTTCGACTCCGGGGCCCCCTTCTTCTTCTTCTTCCCCTCCGGTTGTGCCGGGTCCTTCCCATGCCTTTTTCTCTTCAGCTCCAGATCTGGGGAGCCCCCGACGGCGGCCTCCGATACGGGCCCCGCCTCCTTGGCCTCTTCGGCCGCTCCCGCCTTGGGGAAGATCTCATCGACCGCCCTCTGCTGTGCGGGGGCCTCCTTCTTCTGCTCCTCTCGGGCAAGTTGCCGCTTCAGCTTGACCAGGTTTCGAGCGTCCATGTCTGGTCCTGAAACACAGGAAGGCACACAAGGGTTAGTTCACTATTACAGCAAAGCAAAAAATATGAAGGGGGAAGAAAATTTTCTAAGCATGAGAAATAAAGCCTTCGGCATTACAACAACCTTCAGAACTCTCATATACGCGGTCAATCAGGGGGTAGCCTTCCTCCTTCTCCCCCATCAGCCGGTACCGACGGAAGCCAAGCTTGTACAACTCACTGGAGAGCGTTGCGCCTTTGATGGACACATGTTTATCGGAACCCTCCGGCTTCTTGGACAACACCCGCCCATTCTTTTCGAGGGCATACCCTTCTGCCTTCGGGTGCCGCCGAAACCTGTCACCAAGCGGAGCGGAGAAGGGGTTCTCGGCCAACCGGATATAGCAAAACTTGTCTTTCCACCCCTTGTGAGACGAAGGCGCCTCATCAAAGATCCTGAACTTCGGGAGTTGCTGCAGATTACCATAGCCCCCGGCGTTCGAATGCCCCCCCAGCATAAGTTGAATGACAGGAAGAATTGCTCCAGAGTAGGGGGGACCCTTCGGCTTAGGCACAGTGACAGGAACCCTGCCAGATATGAGTGACTGTTCGGGGTCAACTGGCAGGGGGCTAGCTTTACAAAACGGAGGTACTCCAACACAAAAGGATGAAGGGGAAACCTGAGACCCAGCTCCACCGAAAGCAGATGCACGGCAAAGCAGCCGTCGGGGGCACGAAGGAGCACGTCATCCGGCTTTGGCTCTACCACTTGCGCCGAAGGCCCTACCAAAAATTGCACCGCCATCATTTCCCCTCGGGTAGCTTTATTCTTGACCTCCAAGGCGGCCGTATTCAGGAAAGAATAGCCCTCGGGGAGTCCCAGTGGCTGGCCAGCGTCGACGGCAGCTTGCTTCTTCTTCGGAGCCACCCTCGCCTTCTTTCTCTTCTGTCCTGGGGCCACACTGAGGGGTACATCGTCTATAGGCCGGGAGCTCCCAGCTTCAGTACCACACCGAGGGGGAGGGATAGCTACAGTCACCTTCAGGCCCTCCTTCTGGGCCTCGTCCTCGGCCACTTGACAGGCGATGGCAAGCTCCTCATCCGCGTTCACCTGCTCGAAGTCTTCGGCCTCGAGCTCAAGTTGAAGGTCACTCTGTACCGCCTCGGCTACGGCCCTATCATCAATGGCCGAGAGCTGCTCGCTCGAGGATTCCACGTCAGACGGCACTTCAACGTTCACTGAAGCCTCCCCGGAGATGTCTTGGGAATCACTAGCTGACGACATCTTTCTAAAAGGCGAGGGGTCGGGAAACTCGTACGAAGGGGGGGTTCCTGAAGGGTCCTAAAGACTAACCCTAAGGCCAAAAGAAATACTCAAATGGAGCTAAGGGCGGAAGGAGAACTGACCTCTGAAAGCTGAGTTTTTGACCGAAAGCTTGAGTTTCTCTCTCTAGAATTTTTTGTAGAGCTTCGCTATAGATGTGGATGCGTAAAGGAGGAATGGCCCTGGCTTGGGGTATTTATAGGCTCCCAGATCCGGGCTTGGGCCGAGATCCGGGCTCCCAGCAGCCAAAGCCATCATTACGCACCGTCGTTTCACCCAACCGGTGACGCCGCCCACGAACAGCCAGCCATCACACGCCACGTGTGCCACCCCCCAACGGCTATATCCTGTCGTTACATATTCCAACGGCTATATTTCCAACGGCTATATTCTGGAAGCCCCCGGGTTTTCTACTTCACTCCACTTCATCAAGGATAGCCTCCGGGTACACTCACTCAGAAGTGCCCCCGGGTTGTGCCCCACACAGCACATAACAGACGCCTTCGGGATCACTCCTTCAGAAACCCAGGGCTTCATATTAGGGCACCCCTCGGGGATTCCCCCTCAGCACTGCAAAACCGGGTAGCCCCCGGGGAGTTGCCTCATTGACGGATGACCCATGGCACACAGGTAATGGGAGCCCTCGGGTATCTTCATCACCAATCAATCAACAAACAGTGGACCCCCCGGTAACAACTCCATTGCCGCCCTCATCCAGCAGGCCCTCGATCCCCGAATTGAGGGGCTCCCCTTCGGCGCCACCAGGACATCAACAGCAAGCCTTCGACTAATCAACACAGGAGCCCTCAGAAGAGAGAGCCTTCGGCATTCCCGTCATTCTCCATTTTTTACCAAGGTTTGACATTTTCGATTCATCATTGGGGGAATTCGGTGCACTCTTTTTCCCTCATTAGGATTTTTTCCCAAAGGGTTTTTCCTAATGAGGTTTTTAACGAGGCATCCCCCCAAAATGAAACGAAAAAACGTCAGCCTTCGGCCCACAACAGCAACGCAACTACTCTACTCCTTTTCACCACTTTACAAGTGCCTCAAGGAGTGGGGGACTGGAGGACCCCCTCGGGAAAATCATTAAATTACAAAATTAGTGAAATTCCAACAAACGACAAGGCAAGCCCTCAAGTCCCGACATGTGGGTAACTGAGGGACTGCCTTCGGCAGGGACATAAAAGCCACAACTCCTCACCAACTTCAGAGATCACGACGGGACAACATCAAAGGGCAAGCACAAATTACTCCTTTTCCCTCAAGTACCTTTCGGCAAAAGGAGTGAGGGACTCCTGATGGAGTATATGGCCCGGGAACACCCGGCCCACAGACTCCTACTACTCCTTTAGAGGCCCAACAGGCCCAGAAGGTCCAACAGGCCCAAATCACAGCGCCCAGAGTACCAAGCAGCCCACACTACACTACGCGCCAGGGGTGCCTTCGGCCCCCTGGCCGAAGGCTCTAAACTCTCGCAGAACGGGTTTCTCAAGCAAATTAAGAAACTGGGAGAAAACGGCGAAAACAGTAGCCCTCGGCACTGTGAGCCCTCGGCACTGTGAGCCCTCGGCACTGTGAGCCCTCGGCACCAGGGTGCCATCGGTTGGAGGAGCCCTCGGCTACTGCTCTATGGCCGAAGGCATCTCACTCGACAAGATATCCGCCTCACATGCGTACAGATCACCGTACCCTGCACAGACGTCCCATCCAACAGCCGCATTAAATGCGGCCACATGCGGCTGCCAGCGCCAACCAGTTGAGGTGACCCCTCGGCCAATGAGCGCTTGACACGTGTCCCTGCCCGGCATTTATTGCTACTATAAATAGCACCCCATTTCCCCATTTGTAACCACGCTGAAAACGACATTCACACTGAATACACTCTCTCTCTGCTTTTACTTACTTGCTCTGACTTCTCTCTAAGTTATTCCCCGTAATAACCCTTCGGATATATACCCCGGGTAGACTATCCATCATGGAAAATCATTAACTATGCCATACAAACACAGATGCCTCAAATCTGAAACATTGTACGGAGTAGTTGAGTAAAACCTGGAGTAATAATTAGGCGAAGCTAATCTCACAAATCGTAGTCAGATAGAATCCCTAATCCTTCGGGTATAGCTATATTTTTACCTATATATATTAATAATGTATATGCCAGATTACACAAATCTTAACAAATTCCTCCCTATCGTTACGCACTTAAAATCACAATTTCGCTCTCTGGAACTTCCCGTGATTGAAGATGAAATCCATCAAGGTTGAAGATGAATATCAAGCCACCACTCATTATTGGTAATTTTCACCGTTAATCGAATTATATTTTATTATGACCTACCTTCATATATATAATTAATTCTTACTCATAACCCGTTAGTTAAAATTATCGATTATCCGTTTTTGGCCCTTAATGAAAAGATGACTGAGAATTTTCAATCTCATCACCGTATAAATATCTCAGCGCCGCAAAGGCTCTCACCTACAATGAAGGAAGGAAGATCGGATGTACGCAATATCCGTACTTTATCCCTGTAATAAATTCACGATGAAAGTCGCATTGAAATAAAAGAATCCCATAATTCAAGAATTCATATTTTTGTTTTATTGCGATTTAAATAACATATTAGTAATTCGTATTTGTTATTGTTTTTTAACACTATAAAATAAACAGCTACAATGACAAGGTAGATATGGTGACAAAAGGTGGGAGTTCTATTCCAAGTAGTGGCCAAATCAAGAAAAGTGTGAGATTTGATGAAGGGTGCAATCAGGTGATATTTTTCACACCTACTGAAGATGAAACTCGCCATACTAAACCGCCACCTTCAACTCGCCATACTAAACCACCAATGCAGCAGAAGAAGAAGGCGGTGGGCGGCTGCGCGTGTGGCACACTCACCCATAGCAGCTCATTGAAGTGTCGCCTCCACCGCAACAGATGGGCGTCGACGCCACTGAAGATAACGAGCCGCCGCCCTGGGAGCGTTGATGATAGCCAGATATCACAGTTTACAAGATTCGGAAGGGCCATTCTCAAGTCTCTTCAATTTTAAAAATTTCTCTGCTAATTTTACTTTGTAGTCCATAGCCAGTGTTAAGTTTATGGTTTCATAGTTTAGGGTAGGGGTGGGATCGGGATGATCCCGATCCCGATTGCCAAAATCCCGATCCCGTCCCGATACTGATCCTGATTCAAAATACAAGAGGTTCCTGTATCTCATCCCGATTAAGTCGGAATCCCGACATTAAAATCCCGATTAAGTCGGGTTCCCGATCGGGAATCCCGCTTAATCCCGACAATGATGTATCAAACATGAAATTATGTAATTTCTTTAGTTAAACACTAACTTTGATATTTAGTGGTTTCAATATTATTCATTGGTCATTAGTATACCATATTATCATCACCCACTTGTAAAATTTATAGTTATAATTATCATCTCAAATTCACGGTAGTACGTACTTTTAGAATAATTTTTATTTATAACTTCAATTAATTAATAGTATAATTTTTGAATAAGCTATCAAGGCTTAGTGAAACTTACTTAAAAAATTATATAAAAATTCACTATAAGAAGGATGTGTAACATATACTTAGTATTATTTTAAAACTCAAAACTAAGTAGACTCATTGAGAAACTTTGTGACCCATGAATATAATGTATATATACATATTATGATTATTTATTAAAGAAAGAAATTTTAGTCTCAATCATGATTTTTTAAAGAGTTCATCAAAACCGCAAAAATTGTACTATTGTTGTGATTTAGATTGTCGAGATCAAGAATAACCACTATTTAGTTAGGATCCATAATATTCAGTTTGGGACAAATGCCGAATAGTTTTAGAAGTTTTATTTTGTAATATAAAAGATTAATCTATAAAAGGAATAAGTAAGTAAAAAAGATATGCTAATATTTAGATACATATTCATTTTTTGTAAATGTATATTCATATATATATATATATATATATATTCATATATAATTATTTATAAATGTATATATATAGTGTCGGGATGTCGAGATTTTCCCGTTCCCGACTTTTTTCAAAAAAAAAAAATCCCGATCCCGTCCCGATTTAGTCGGGATCGGGAAAAATTCCCGACTAGTCGGGATCAGGATTGTCGGGATCGGGTGTCGGGACTCAGGAAAAAATTCCCACCCCTAGTTTAGGATTGGCATGAATTATATATTCTTCAAATATTTTATATAATGAGGGATTGTAATTCTCAAAATCATCATTATTTTAGTGCGTGGTCCCAAAAAGATTTTAGTGCAGTTAAAAGACTTGGATGTCGAACTTTAGTGCACAATTTGTACTAAACTTTCAAACTTATCCTAAACCATTCTGACCTTAAATATTAAATTTTGTCTTTTGAAAAATGATTTTTTTCCCAAAATAACAATAAATAAATATTTCCGAAAATAGTGTTGAGTTAAAATATTCTCAAAATACGGGTGGGATAATCATAATTAAAGAACCTCCAGTTGAAGTGACGCCTTATATGCTTCAAAAAACTAACGCACATACAAAGCTAGGAGGAAGAAAAAGTTGACTCATTGGTCCCGCCATCAAATAAAATAATTATTATTAAGATACAGAGTATATGTTAACTTTTTCTTTAATTTTAATTATTTTAATCGTAGGTTGTAATAAGTTTATTGTGTTAAAAGAAAATATTTGAAGGACATTGAAGTCATTCACCAAATATGTACTGAAAGATACCACTCAACCAAATAAATTAATGTCATGTTCCTTGATCTCAACCAAACACAAAAGTGTACAAATTTTGTACATTCTCATCAGTCTAACATACCGAGTAATCTAACATTCCTTGAATCACACGAGACCTTAGACTTTTGTAGACTTTTAAAAGTTCACATCGAATCGAATGCATGTAAACTTTTACCATTACAATAGACCCCCTAAAATTATTCTAATTCAATGTTATGTGGAAAAAGTCAGTGGCCAAAATCAAATGATTATGCAACCTCCAAGAAACAGATGCGCTATATATCCAAAATCTCAATTTGGAAAATCATTAACTATCCCAAACAAACACAGATGCCTATAATCTGAAACATATGGTAGTTGAGTAAAAGCCGGAGTAATAATTAGGAGAGGCTAATTTCACAAATCCTAGTCAGATAGAATCACTAATCCTTCGGGCCATAGCTATACTTTTACCTATATATATATTAGTAATGTATGCTTCAGATTACACAAAACCTAACAAATTCATCCCTACCCGTAGTTCCTTACGCACTTAAAATTCTCCAGAATTTCGCTCTCTGAAACTTCCAGTGATTGGAGATGAAATCCATCAAGGTTGAAGATGAATATCAAGCCACCACTCGTTATTATTGGTAATTTTCATCGTTAATCGAATTATATATATTTTACTATCATTTCTTCTATTCATACCACGTATTATAATTTAATTATAATTAATTCTTAATCATGAATCCTTTAGTTAAAATTCTTGATTCTCCGTTCTTAGCCCTTTATGAAAAGTAAAATTCGTTTCCTGTGCATTGAATGTTTCAATATAAATTAAAATATTGCAAAATTTAAGAATTGATGTTTTTTTTTTGTGATTTAAATATATACAAGTATTACTCATTTGTATTTGTTGTTATTGTTTTTTAAAACAATAAAACAAACAGCTTCAATGACAAGGTAGATATGGTGAAAAACCTATATTCTCAAGACAAGGGAAAAGGTGGATTTGATGAAGGGTGTGATCGGGTGATGTTCTCCACACCTACTGAAGGTGCAACTAGCCATACTAAACCGCTAATGCAGAAGAAGAAGAAGGCGGTGGGCGGCTGCGCCACGTGTGGCGCTCCGACCCATAACAGCTCAATGAAGTGCCGCCTCCACCGTAACAGATGGGCGTCGGCGCCACTGAAGATAACGGGCCGCCGCCCCGGGAGTGTTGATGATTGCCAGTTATCCCAGTTTACAAGATTTGGAAGGGCCATTCTCAAGTCTTTTCAATTTTAAAAGTTTCTCTGCTAATTTTACTTTGTAGTCCATAGCCGGTGTTAAAGTGTTTATGGTTTCATTGGTTAGGGCTGGGGTGAATTATATTCTTCAACTATTTTGATAATGAGGGATTGTAATTCTCAAAATAATCACTATTTTAGCCAATTATTTTAGTCCCAAAAAAGTTCTAGAATTTGGGTGCAGCTCCTCTCCATTTTTTCTTCTCCATTTCCCATTCATTTCTTTTTTTTCTTCCTATCTCTCTACCTTTTTCCCTATCTTACTCATCTACGTACCCCACCTAAAATCCTCTCCTCTCTATCTCTCTCCCACTGGAACTCTCCAATCACCGGAGAGGATCCAAATTCCTAGAATTTCTAGTGTAGTTAGAAGACTTCGGACTTTAGTGCATAACTTGAAGGAATTTTATCGATCTAGGACATGAAAGATAGATGAATTATCAATACGGGACTTGAAAGATTAAATGTATTAGTATAAGGCTCGAAAGATGAAAATCTAGCAATCTAGGACCTAACATTTAATAGGTTTGGATTTGTTTAATCTTTTATTAATTCCATTGCTAATATTTGGTGAAATTTTCTTCACAAAAGTTTATAAGTTTAATAAAACTAAATATTATTTAATTTTTTTAAAATAAAAACAATAATAAAATTTATGAAAACTTAGGTCCTAAATTGATACTCCCTCCGTCCCTAAATTATCTTCAAACTTTCCTTTTTCGTCCGTCCCAAAATTATCTCCTCTTCCCCCTTTTAGCAAAAAATTTGTGGTTCACAACCATTCTTACACATTCTTACACATTTCTCTCTCCTCTGCACAACTCTCCACCACACAAATCCCACTATCTTAATAAATGTGCCCAGCCGAAAAGGGAGAAAGATTAGGGACGGAGGGAGTAGTTTTCAATCATTCGGGTCCTAGATTGATAGTTTTCCATCATTCGGATCCTATTCTGACACATTTCATCTTTCAGGTCCCGAATTGATAGTTCGTCTATCTTTCAGGTCCCGGATTTATAAAATTCCTAATTTGAACTAAACTTTCAAATATGCCCTAACCATTCTCATATTAAATATTACTCCCTCCGTCCCTTAAAACTTTGCCAAGTTTGACCGGCACGAGGATTAATAAAGTAAAAACTGTGTGGTAGAGGTTTGTGCGGAGGAGAAAGAATCAACTGAAACCACAAATTGTTTACTCAAAAAGGAAAATTGCAAAGTTAGTGGGACATCCAATTAAATATTGTGTTTTGAAAAATTGAAGAATTTATCTTGAATCTTTATTTGTTGATTATAGAACCTTCTTATAAAATTCTCTGACACAATTACACAAATTGACACACATATGCATGTCTCAAGAACATCAATTAATTTTTGCAAATTGATACTCCCTTTATCCCTGAAAATACTTCCAACTTTCCCTTTTAGTCTGTTCCAAAAAGAACTTCTCTTTCCCTTTTTGGCAAAGAATTTGTGGTTCACAGCAATTCTTACACATTTCTGTCCTCTGCACAACTCCCCACCACACAAAACTCACTTTCTTAATCCGTGTGCCATTTGTACTATGGAAGTAAATTATGGGACAGAGGGAGTACATCAAGATAGAATCACAATATCGATATATTATCTGGTGTCCACTCGCCAGCATTATTCACTTATTCCGGCCTAATTCCGACGAATTCCAAAGAAACTCTCTCAATGTAATCAACCCTCCAAGCTAGCTTCAACGTTAGTAGTCGAGCTCATAAATATATCACTCCCTTTGTTTTGTTAAGATTTTCTTACATTTTCTTTTCAGTCTGCCTCATTAACATTGATCAATATCAAATTTGATTGTGGTTCTAAATTATTTTTACATTCAAAAGTTGATTGTCGACCACCCTGTATAATATATATGTATTGAGTCATTCTCCTGTCCAGGAGCCCCCGGTCCGAACGTCGTCTGAACACCACCGTTTGGGGAGGTTCCAGGTGTATTTTTTTTCATGAAATATTTTGAGCATGTTCCTCATCAAGTCTAGTTTATCCATACCAAATTTCAGCTTAAAATTCGATCGCGAAGGCAGTCAAACAATTTGTTGAAGTTAATTGCGCCAAATTATACATTGAAAAACACAGTTAACTTCAAAAAATTATTTTACTGTCTTCCCGATCGCATTTTAAGCTGAAATTTAGTATGGATAAACTAGACTTGATGATGAACATGCTTCAAAAAAAATCATCAACAAATTCCACCGGGAACCGCCCCAAACAGCTGTGTTCGGACGGTGTTCGAACAGAAACGTGCTGGACCTGAAAATTTCTCTCTATATATATAATAAAAAGAAATCTGCATAGCCGCAGGGGCACAAGCACCCCCAAGCTCTAGTGTAGTTCCGCCCCTGGTGTCCATCAAATTGCAATAGACTGTATATCAATTAAAGTATTCAAAGTCCTTTGAAGCAGCATCGATGCCATTTTAATTTCTAAAGTATATTAGTTTCTGTTGTTTTTGCTTGGACCCATTGCAATAATAATAATAATAATAATAATAATAATAATAATAGCTAATACAAAGTATACTCTATAGCATGAAAGTTAGTTGTATACTTGTATATGAACAAAATATGTAACAAGTACTGAGTTTACCAATTAGATATTATTAAAATATTAAGGAAATGTAGTTAAAAGTTTGAATCGACCTAGCTGCTAAAGCGGGTATGTTATTTATATGTAACGTGTTCAATGAACTGAAACATTGGAGAAAGACTTGGTTTCTAAATGTATAGCTAGCAGGCCCGGTCCGGACATTCTATGGGCTCGGGACATTATAGATAGAGTAGGCTTTATAGATAATGTATGAATATTTATATTTTTTATTTTAAAAAAACTATAAGTAAAATTGAGCAATTTTATTATATAAATATGAGTATAATTAACACATCAAAGAAATTAATAAATGAGACGGTTAGAAAGATTATATTTAAATATTTGGTTAGTGACACCTGAGAATACTATGTAACTAAACAGGCCTAATGGAAAAGTAGTACAATTTGTATTTGCCATAAAGAATTTTGATTTAGGGAAACATGTGAAAATTATATCTTATATGAAGAAAAACTTTCATATTTCAAATCACACTTATTAATTCTTACATTTCATGAGAGAATTAAAGAAAATTAGAAAAATACTACAGAATATCAATGAATTATGAGTTTACATGAGAGAATTATATAAAAAAATTAACATTTATGCACTAACTCTTAATGAATCAAAAGAAATAATGAAATTTGTTTCCAATGAATTCTAGTGTGGATGTTTAATTTCAAAATTTTAAACTTGTAGTTTGTAGATGTTTTTGAATAACGAATTGAACGTATAAGAAAATTATAAGTGCTTTTTTTAAAATTTTTATAGATATATAATTAAAATAAAATTGTATATATATATATATATATATATATAGATCAAATACAAACCATGCTTAAAATACTAACCTACAAACTCAATAATATGCATCACTTTAAACTTCAATATGCAGTAAAAATAATTAAATATGCAGGGGTGTGATCACCTACAAACTAGTCCTCACATTCAAATCATTTTTACATTATTTGTACTGTACATTGAAGTTCAACGTGTTTCATATTATTCAAGCCATAAACTAGCAGTTTCATATTTACATTATTTGTATTGCATACTGAAATTCAAAGAGTGCATCTTTACATTATTTATACTGCATATTGAAGTTCAAAGTGTTGCATATTATTGAGTTTGTAGGTTAGTAAGTTAAGCATGGTTTGTATGTGATCTCACCCCTATATATATATATATATATATATATATATATATATATATATATATATATATATATATATATAACTGGGAAATTTATGGGCCCTAGCGGAGCAATGGGCCCTGGGCGCATGCCCCGTTACCCATGCCCTAGAACCGGTCCTGATAGCTAGGCATGCTAGGATTTTTTATATATATAGGGTGAGCAATTTAGTTTAGGGTTTGGTTTTTATCGTTTTCAATTCGATTTCTGTTAATTTGGTTTAGGAGATATTGTATTACACTAAAACCATTTGTATTTCGGTTTGATTTCAGTACGGTTAGAGAGTGGTTCAATTTGGTTTGGTTTAAAGTTCAGATTACCAAAGTGAAACTGATTTGGTTCAATTTACTTCCATTTGATTCAGTTTCATATGTTTATATTTGGTTTATTTGATCTATGCATCCAAATTAAAATTTTAAGTCCATACTTTTTTAAATTAAATCATGTAAAATGTATATTGCATTCTAGTTTAACTGAAATTGATATAAATACAATGTGCTTGTCATTGATATAAATATCTTTTCGTATAATTATGATATAAATCATGTATTTATATCATAAACATGTATTTTTCATACCTAAGTTATTTATTTGTATCCTAAACATGAAGAGTGAATGGAAGCATAATATAATGTATTTACAATTTTTTGGTTTAATATTATAAATATTTTATTAGTAAATTTGTCCTATCCTTCCAGGTCTAGTGTTCGAAACAAGTTGGCTTTGATTGTGAGTTTTGCTTTTATTTTATTTCCTTTTGAATCCTCATCAAATTTTAAATGGCTTTACATAAAAATTTAACTTTTGTCTTGGTTAGAAAGATTTAAACTATATTAATAATTCAATATAATCACAATTTTAGTTTTGCATGTTTAATAAAGTTTAACAATTACGTTGATTTTTGTAAATAATATAAACTGGTTTTTTAATATACTTGTGAATTCATATCTTAAATTAATTCTAATTATATATATGACCCTTCCCTTATTTGATTCACGCATTTATTAGCATAATATTGAACAAATTACAAACGTGGTATGTTTAAAATTTATTTCTAACATAAGTCAAATTTATTTACTATGAATTTTTAAGCATGATATCATGAAGTTTTTGTTGAGTGAATATTTTGTTATTTATAAGTAACTTTACAAAATTGTTTTAACGTGGTGAGTCTCTAGCATGTTCTTTTGTGATAATATATAAGTCAAGTCCCCCCACCACCACGAGTTCTTTTGGATACGTCACCAATAACAATAATACTTCCTCCGTTCCTAAAAATTCTTCCCGGTTTGACTTGGCACCTTATTCAGAAAGTGAAATAAAG